GTCACCCGTCCGTGCAGCGCCTTCGGGCAATGCACAAACGATACCTTGTCTCTGGTCTTCCCAGGGTTCTCCCTCCCCTCCCAGCCTCGCCTGCTCCTCCCTGCCTTCCCTGTGTCGAGGGGCGGCAGCGCGCTGCTCCTCACTCCTCCTCGTTTCCCCCGACGAATGCTCCCTTGCAGACGCTCCACACTGACGTGTGGGGCCCCGCCCGCGTCCGTGGTCAGGGTCAGGAAAGGTACTTCCTGATAGTTGTTGACGACTACTCGCGCTACACCACGGTCTTCCCCTTGCGCACCAAGGGTGAGGTCCCTGATGTTTTGATCCCTTGGATCCGCGCTTCTCGTCTTCAGCTCAGCGAGCATTTCCACCTGGACTTTCCTGTCCTGCGCTTGTACTTTGACAGAGGTGGTGAGTTCTCTTCTGACCTCTTGGCAGCCTACTGTGCGGAGCACGGCATCCGCCAGTCGTTCACGCTTCCGGCCTCTCCACAACAGAATGGGCTTGCTAAGCGCCGCATTGGCTTGGTCATGGAGGTCGCTCGTACCTCCTTGATTCATGCGGCTGCCCCCCACTTTCTGTGGCCATTTGCGGTCCGATACGCTGCGCATCAGCTCAACCTCTGGCTCCGTATCTCCTTGCCGGAGACCTCCCCGACACTTCGTTGGACGGGAGAGGTTGGCGATGTGTCGCGTTTTCGGGTCTAGGGATCTCGAGCTTTTGTTTGCGATACGTCCGCGGACAAGCTCTCCTCCCGCGCTGTTCCGTGTGTCTTCCTGGGCTTTGTTCCGGACGCGTCTGGTTGGCAGTTTTACCACCCTACCTCGTGCCGTGTCCTCGCCTCTCAGGACGTCACCTTTGACGAGTCGGTACCTTTCTACCGCCTCTTCCCCTATCGCACTGCCCCGCTCCCTCCCCCGCCTCTCTTCCTTGCGCCAGGTGCTGCTGTAGTAGACCCCCTCCCCCCTCAGGGTGCCGCTCCCTCAGGTGTGTCCCAGGTAGACCCGGTTGAGCCTGTCGAGGTAGTTGTCTTCTCTCGTCCTGCTCGGGGTGCTGAGCCTGAGCGTGCGGAGCCTGGGGTTGCGGAGACTGGGGGTGCTGAGCCTGGGGGTGCAGAGTCTGGGGGTAGTGAGCTTGGGGGTGCGGAGTCTGGGGGTGCTGAGCCTGGGAGTACGGAGCCTGCTTGTGCTGAGTCTGGGGGTGCTGAGTCTGGGGGTGCTGAGCCTGGGAGTGCTACGCCTGGAGGAGCTCTCTCTTCACAGCAGCTGTGTGAGTGGTACTTACAATACTGCAGCCTCAGGAGAGGTGCTTCTAGAGCTAGGGGTGCTGCTGGAACTGGTGCTCGTGCTTCCTCGCCTAGGCGGGAGCTGCCCTCTCCCCAGCGTCTTCGCGAGTGGTACGCACGGCGCTGCAGTCTCAGGAGTGGCGCTCCTAGTGGCGCGGACCCTGCTACTGGCGCTGCGGACCCTGGCGTTGGAGCTGCTGCTGGTGCTGCAGACCCGGGCGTTGGAGCTACTACTGGTGCTGCGGACCCTGGCGTTGGGGTTGCTACTGGTGCTGCAGACCCGGGCGTTGGAGCTGCTGCTGGTGCTGCAGACCCGGGCGTTGGAGGTGCTGGGGGTGCTGCTCGGGCTGCTGGAGGTTCTGGTGCTGTCTCTGCTGCTGCAGGGGCACCTCACGGCCGCGGCCATACTTTGTTCCACTCAATAAGCAGGTTCTTAGTCAGTCACCTCCGCCTTGTCCCCCTCCCTCTGTAGAGTGTCCACCGCCGGTCCAGTCGTAGTCACAGCTACCGCCTACCTCGCCACTTCCTCGTCCTTCTCCCTACACTGGTCCTACAGGCGGTCTTACAGAGCGTCGTCAGCCTGAGTCTCGCCCTGTGTCGCCTGTGTCCCGTCTTGAGTCCCCTGTTCGTACTACTTCCACCAGTCGCCGTACTCTGCTTGAGCGTCCGCCACCAGTCTCCTTGGCACACACCGGATGTCACTGCGTCCCTCCACTGCTCCACAGCGTGTCCCTCTGGCGTCTCCTCCTGAGTCCTCTCTTCCTGCTCTTGCTGACCCTGAGACTGACTCTCTTCGTGCTGCCAGTCCTAATGTCACGCGTCTCCTGGCCACTGCTGTCACTGACCCTTCCTTTGAGTCTGCTGTTGCGTCTGCCCTAGTTGCTGAGCTTGTTGACTTCGCTGCCCGCTGTCGTCTAGACTACGCTGCCAGTCTTGTCGCTGAGTCTGAGTCTGTCTGTCCTCCGTCTGTCGGGGTTGAGTGTGCTCTTAGCACGCACGTCTTTGAGGACAGACAGGAGGATCTTGAGTGTCTTGCAGCCGCTGCGCCCCATCTCGTGTCCATGCTAGTTGCCCCTGAGGGAGACCCGAATGCACCAGACATCCCGACTCCTCGATCGTACGCTGAGGCGATCGAGGGTCCCTACTCCTTACAGTGGTAGTCAGCCATGGACACAGAGATGGCTTCCTGGAAGTCCACAGGCACCTACGTGGACGAGGTTCCCCCACCTGGGGCGAACATCGTCAGTGGCATGTGGATTTTCAGGATGAAGCGGCCGCCGGGTTCTCCGCCTGTCTTCAAGGCTCGTTACGTTGCTGGAGGCTTCAGACAGCGAGAGGGAGTAGACTTCTTCCAGACCTTCTCCCCCACCCCGAAGATGACCACTCTTCAGGTACTATTGCACCTTGCTGCTCAGCGCGACTACGAGCTTCACTCTCTTGACTTCAGCACAGCTTTCTTGCAGGGCAGTCTGCTCGAGGAGATCTTGCTGCGCCGCCCTCCTGGCTTCACTGGGTCGTTCCCTCTTAGTACCCAGTGGAGCCTCTGCCGGCCGGTCTACGGTCTCCGCCAGGCGCCACGTGAGTGGCACGACGCACTGAGGACTACTCTTGGGGCACTTGGGTTCTCTCCTTCTACTGCTGACCCATCACTGTTTCTACGCACCGGCACATCGCTGCCGCCGTTCTACATCCTCGTGTACGTCGATGACTTGGTCTTTGCCACAGCTGACACTGAGTCTCTCGCCCGCGTGAAGTCGGAGCTGCAGAAGAGACACACGTGCACAGACCTTGGTGAACTGCGCAGCTACCTTAGCTTGCAGATCACCCGGGACAGAGCACGCCGCACCATTACCCTGACTCAGTCACACATGGTGCAGCAGGTCCTTCAGCGCTTCGGCTTCACCTGGTCCTCAGCACAGGCCACTCCTCTGGCTATATGTCACTCGCTCTCAGCTTTGCCTTTGGATGAGTCCGTAGAGTCGAGTGGCCCTTACCCATAGCTAGTTGGTTGCCTCATGTACCTGATGACTTGCACTCGTCCTGACCTAGCATACCCTCTTGGCCTTCTGGCTTGCTATGTGGCTCCTGGTCGTCACCGAAAGGTGCACTGGGATGCTGCAAAGAGGGTATTGCGCTACTTGTGCAGTACATCAGGCATGGGGCTCGTGCTTGGAGGAGGGAGCTCAGTTGTTCTCACTGGGCACTCAGACGCTTCTTGGGTTGACGACCAGGCTACTCAGCGGTCGTCACAGGGTTACACCTTCAACCTTGGCTCTGGTTCAGTTTCGTGGCACTCTACTCGTTCGTCTTCGGTTCTCAGCTCCAGTTGTGAGGCTGAGATCTACGCCACAGCCATGGCTGCACAGGAGTTACGCTGGCTCACCTACCTGCTGACCGACCTTGGAGAGCGGCCTAGTTCTCCTCCAGTGCTGTACGTCGAAAACAAGGCTGCCATTGCCCTGTGCGAAGAGCACAGACTGGAGCACAGACAGAAGCACATCGCTCTCCGTTACTTCCTTGCTCGTGAGCTTCAGCAGCATGGTCAGCTTCGTCTACGCTACGTGGCCTCTCAGGCCAACACCGCTGATATTTTCACCAAGGCACTTCAGCCTGGTGATCATCAGCCCTTCTGTACTTTGTTGGGGCTAGTGCCCACTTTGTCTCACTTGTTGTAGGCTTTACCTGTACTGTGATCTCTATATATACTCCTGCCTGTTTGCTCTGCTAGGTTGAGATCACCCTTGCTGTCTGTACTACTTATATATACTTCTGCATGTGATCTGGCCTTGTGGCCCTTTGCTTGTGCTCGGAGTGTGTGGTGACGTTGTGATCCACCCTGAGCTTGCTTGCCTTTCTTGACTGGTCTTGTGACCCCCTTGTTCTCCCCCACTTTGCCTATGGGGGTGTGTCAAACACTATATGTGTTATTATTGTGTAGGCTATAGTGGGTTAGCCTTTAGGGGGTACACAAAGTTACGGTTTCCTACTTGTACTCCAACTTTCATAGTGCAATCACTTTTTCTTCATAACATGTCGCGATTTCTAACGCGGGACCCGCTGGCGTGCCGCTGACCCTGCAGACTATTCGCGACCATGTCGCGACCATGGCACGCCGCATGGGTATCTCGCCGACGTTTCGATGCTCCATAGGCTGGGTGCGCCGTGCATTGCGGCGCCAGGGTGTGAGGTGCCGCGTCGCCGTCGGTGAGGCGGCCAGCGCAGACATTACCGCCGTCCGCAACTGCCGGGAGAAACTTTCCCAACTGCTCATGCATCTCTTGGCCAGGCCTCGCGATACTTACAACCTCGACGAGACAGCAATGTGGTTGTTCGTGCTCCCGCGCAGGACCTTCAACAACGGTTGTCTTCCCGGGCGGAAGATTTCGAAGGAACGGCTCACCGTCGCGTTCCTGGTCAATGCCGATGGCAGTCACGCCTTCCGTCCAATGGTCATCTCGAAGGCGAAGGGCCCGCATGAATTTCGGCCGGACTACGACCCCAACACGATTTGCTACTGGCGTAACAACGCCAAGGGTTGGATGACGACTCCTGTGAGTACATTTGGTGTTGAGTGAATACATATGCCGCTTCGTCTCTTCTATTGTTTGGGCTGATACTTAAACATCACGTGATATGATCCCACCTCCGCGCCATCACCCACTCCCCCCCACCCCCCACGTAGTTATTCACACATTTCATCAAGCAACTCAACGCGGCGATGTACGCGGAGGGCCGTCACATCGTCATCTTGCTCGACAACGCCAGCTCGCACACGCTGAAGAGCGAGATGGCTTGGAGCGAGGTCGTTCACGGCTTTCGCACGACCTGCATGAGCAACATCCCCTTGGTGTTTCTGCCGCCGAACACCACAGCATTCACCCAGCCCCTGGATCAGGGGATCATCGCCACCGCCAAGGCGCGCTACCGTCAGCACTGGATGCGGAATTTCACGGCCCTGTGGGCGGCGGACGGCGCAACAAGCAGCTGCGAGGTTCCGCCCGAGTATCCGCGACGTCCTGGCGTGGCTGTTGGACGCATGGACGAGCATTGGCCCCTGCACCATCCAGCGGTGCTCGTGGCGCACCGGATGCCTACCTCATTCGTGGGCCATGGAGCTGTCGCATGTTCACGATAGGGATGGTTACGGTGGCGAAGGTGAACTTGACGGCACACGCGTTGATGCCTACCCCGACATCGATCTCGACGAGGATATCGGGGATGTCGGGATTCTCATTTCCCGACTCGGACTCAGGCCCGGCGCGATGCCCGCTGCTGAGTATGTCGCCATCGACGAGGATCAACCGACATGCGCCGAGACCGGCGAGGACCCGCTGGCGGGAGAGCCGGGTGCGGGCGTGGTGGCGGAACTTTGGGAGGCGCCAACCACCATGCAAGCCGTGTACGAGGCGTGAGCCGTGCAGTGCGGCACACTCACGGGCGGCGTGCAAAATGCTAATCGGATATGCACGCGCCACTAGCATCATTCCGCGTGACCTGTGCCACCTGTTCGACATCCGCAATCCGCTCATTATTGAGCGGATGGAGCAGGCGAGCCCGCCCATCAATCTGAACATAACCCCACCCCCCGCAGCTATGCCGGGCGCAAGCTCGGCGCCCAATACCCCACGCCGGCGTGGCCGTGTGCTTCCTGGCTGGATGACCCAGCCTTCCTGCCGCCAGCAGCTGCTGGATGCCGGAGTGACCGCCGTGATGGGTGGATACACTGACGCCGCGAAGTGGATGCGTCTGTGAGGGGTTTTCACCCCCCTGGAGGAGTTGAGTGCTCCTTCTTTGGCATAAATGTGCACGACTTGTGCACACTGATGTGTGCTTCATCAACACCTGACAATGAAGTTGAAGGCCAGCTGGCAGAACAAGATTGGGGAGTTGAGGGGGTTGCATGTTTTTGACAGAGTTGAAAGTTTGTTGTAATTGCGATACAGTGTGCTATTGATATCAGGTGGTAACAATGAGCACCCACTAATGACAAGTGTGACCAACCCACACTGTTATGGAATAGACAAAAGACCTGGTTACCACTATTTTTTTGAAGCACATTAGAAGTGTAGCGAAACATACGAACCCGGCGAAACGCATGTGTAGCTTATGAGCCCCCTTAACAAGGCAACCGGGAGTGGCTCAAACGGGCATCATGTGTACTCGGTCTGACGTGCAAGCCAACTAGGCACACCAACCTCACCAGTCACGACAATCAACACCTGACGTCATGGCAAACACAGCTGGTTGTTGAGACGGGCCATGCAGACGAATATAGCAGGCGAGTGACATCGATCGTGTAACCCGCAGCCGAACTGGCGAAGCCTTTTTGTACCAGGGAGGAAGATGCTGTGGTCGGGCGACAAAATGCAGCTTCGAGTCAAATCTAGCCTGTCCGTTGACGATTGGTTGAAGCTCACATCAGCCAATCAAGCATGCGGAATCTGGCGGCATGAGACCTTCGTGCCATGCGGTAAACGTGAGCGCGGAAAGCGGGCGAGCCAGCAAGCAGCCGAACGAGCCAACCAACAACCAGTCGAACGCAGATAAGACAGACGTTGCAGGACTGGACTGCACTATTTGGGGGGGATTTCATGCGAACGATTCATCTTGTCGTGCACAGTGCAGAACAGTACAGTTCAGAGCATTGGGGCAGACTAGAGATCCAAGTTGGTTCATCCAGCCCACATTACAACCCACACCCCAACCAAACCCTCAACTCAAGCATGCCTCCTGTACAAATGTAGCTTGTTTTCCTCCAGGCAAGCCAAAAAGCAGTCTGATCAGTCAGCACTGCAAGCTCATGACGGATCTGCTCGTAATCTCGAGGACGCATAGAACGCTCTATTGTAAGCAGCCCCGTGTGACTTCCCAAATTGTCCTTTTCCTTCCCGCGATGTAGGAACCCTTTAGGAAATTTGTCTTTTCTGAGTCGGAAAAAATGAGTCAATTTCCTTTTCGGAGCAAGAGATGCAAAAACTAGATAGGGCAGGAGTTTGGCGGATGATATCCTCTAGATGGATACGACGGCTGTTGTTACTAGCAACAAGCCAGCTGAGGCAATCAATAGACATCTAGAACTCCATGGGGTTCCTAGTACTAGTAAGGCCACCGGTGCCACTGCAACTGGAATTCCGCGAGCAACGGACATGATATCATGCGGAGAGGGTTTCCCGCCAGGTTTTCGGTTCCGGCCGACGGACGAGGAGCTGCTGTGTCACTACCTCAGGCGGCGCGTGGAGGGCCTTCCCATCGCATGGAATGCGATCGGCGACGTGGATCTGTACAAGTCCGAACCTTGGGAACTGCCAGGTACTGCCCAGAATAAGCATCATCCTGAATGTGAATTATCCTTTCCCCCCTCCCCTCCCCTTCTCTCCCCCCCTCCCCCTCCCCTTCCCAAGGCTGCACAGTTTCTGAGGAACACAACCCTCCTGTTCCCCCTTCAAAACATGCCCTACCGCATCAGACAGCTTTATGATATGTGCTTTCAAAGCATTTTTTTCAATACTTTTCAATAAGTTTTTTGGTGCCCCCAAAATACCTTTCCCACACCAACGACACACTTTTTTTTCTACCACTAAACAAACACCAGGTTGAAGCTCCCTTCCTCTTAAAACCACTGAGCCAAAACAGGGTTATTCAGAGACAGAGCAGTAGTCTTTTGACCCTTCGTGTAAGCCCGCATGCGTTACACCATCCATATTATAGGTACGCCAGTAGTGAGACCTCCTTTCTCCTTGCAACTTCCCCCCTGATCCAATAGTAACAGCCAAAGTTCCCAACTGCTGCACAGCGAAACTGGTCCTCTTTAACGGATAAGACACCCTCCTTCCCTCTCATATTCCCCGCCCCTAATCCATTTCCAGCTCGAGCAAACAAGGCCGGTTGCTGCCAACGTCCGTTCTTCACTCTGAGATTCCCTCAAGCACCCCTTTCTCCATGCCCACCTTATCCTTAACTCCATTCCCATCCAGTGCAATCCCGTTCTGCTGGCCAAAGCAAGTGTTTTTTCTTTGCATTCCGCAGCATCAAGCAACCAATCCCAGCCAGAGCAACTTGCCGGCGATTCCTGGCTACAGCATGTGGTTCCCCTTCGCGGTATCCCACAACCTCAACTAACCCTCTCGTCATCCCATCCCCCGCTCTACTCCACTCCCAGACAGAGCAACATGCCCTACTGCTGGCGACAGCATGTGGTTCCTTTTCGCGGTATCCCGCAACCTCAAGCCACACTCTCCACTCCCAGCGAGAGTAACATGCCCTTCCTGGCAATGGCAAAATGGTTCTTCCTCCGTCAAGAGCCTTCATCTACCCCTATTCCCCTCTCATCCCTGTCTCTCCAACTCCCCAGCCAGAGCAACCTGCCCTATTCCTGGCGATGGCGAATGGTTCTTCTTTGCAGCCCGCGACCTCAAGTACCCATCGGGGTACAGGTCTAACCGCGCCACAACTGCTGGGTACTGGAAGGCAACTGGGAAGGACAGGCCAGTGCACGTGCGGCTATTAGGCGGCAGCAGTGGTAATGAGGGCAAGGGGGAGCAGACAGTCAGAGTGGGATTAAAAAAGACTCATGTCTTCTACATGTGAGTTCATTGCTTCAGCGTCGTCTCCAACTATCACCAAACAGTGACCCCCCTATATAGGTCTTCAGGTTGCTCGGTTTTATGTTTGAGTCACTGGACTGCCTGCTCCGATCTTAGGTTTGGATGGGTCAGGTACCGTTTGTTCAACAAGCCTTCTAAACATCTCTTTATTCTGCGGGTGTTGGCAACAGGGGCCGAGCGCCAGGAGGGGACAAGACTGACTGGGTGATGCACGAGTACCGGCTGGCAGAGGATTCGCCTGTAGCTGGACCGGCTTCTACAGACGTGGCACGCGCTACAGCTGCAGCAGGGGATTTGGACCCTCCAGAAGCTGCAAACGCAGATGTTACGCGTGAAAGCAATGCAGCTGGAGTGGATTCAGGAGATGGTACTGCCATATGCCGAAACAGCAGTAGAAAAGATAAAGCGACCGGCACTGACACCAGAGGTCTGGAAGCTGCGGTTGGTGCAGGTGGTGCTGCAGATGGTGGGCTAGCCAGGAGCAGCAGCAGCAACAGCCCCAAAGCTAGCAGCCCAAAGGCCGAATCTGGCAGTGACCGACGGATTGGCACGACATCGTGGGTGGTTGTGAGGGTGTTCAAGCGAAGCTCCCTGACGGCTGAGGAGCAAGCGGTGGTGCCACCGCAGGGGATGGTGGCACATCAAGCAATTGCGGCACAACAAGCAATGGTTGCACAGCAAGCAGCGGTAGCACAGGCTATGGTGTCCCAGCAGGAGATGGTAGAACAGCAGGCAGTGAAGGTGCAGCTACATGAGGGTAATAATTCTCCAACTACCCTTACAAGGAGCCAGTCCCCCAACTCCTCCTGCTCCGCAATGCCTGTGGATGTCCAGAGCAGCGTTGTCGCAAGCCGAGCAGCAGATGTGGATGCAGCGATGCCTGTGGGTCTGGAGGAGGAAAACGTATCAATAGTGGCAAAAGCTGCAAGAACAGGAGCAGCGGAGGAAGATTCAGTACAAGCAGTAGCGATGGAGGTAGAACGAACAGGAGCAGCAGGGGAAGCAGCAATTGATGTTAAAAGAGCAGGAGCAGCAGCTAGTGTAGCAGTGGGAGCGGCAGATTTGGCATCAGTAAAAATGGAGGAAGCAGGAGTAGGAGCAGCAGTGGGAGCAGAAGTTGGAGCTGGTAACCTCTTTGCGCATCCAGGTCCTGCCTCCCCTCTCCTCAATCCGCTCAGCCCGCACTCTGAACACTCCCCTGCCCCATTGCCCTTCCCCCAGCCCATTGCTGGCAACAGCAGCCACGCAGAGCAGCAAGAGCTGTGTTTTAGACGCCAGCACAGCAGCAGCCCCGCAGAGCAGCAAGGGATATCGCCGCACTCTGAACTCTCCCCGGCCCCCTTCCTCCAGCCCAGTGCTGGCAGCAGCAGCCACGCAGTGCAGCCTGAGTTGTTGCTCAGGCACCAGCAAAGCAGCAGGCCAGCAGGGCAGCAAGGGCTTGTGCAAGGGTTGCACACGCAGCAGGGAAACAGCCAGCAAGAAGAGGGGTTCTTGAAAGGTCAGGTCTACCCCGAGACCTTGCCATCCTTCAAGCACTATCTGACTGACTTAAAGCCACCTGGCAGCAGCAGGGATGGTGGTTGTGGTGTGGGAGGCGGGCATGGAGTGGCAGGGCAGGTTGAAATGGGAGAGCCGCAGCAATCGGAAGAGGAGCAGCAGATGCGAAAGGAGCAGAAGAAGAGGGAAATGGCGGAAAAGCTGGACTGGAGGGTGGAGTGGGATAGCAGCCAAGATCAATGGCAGAAGGAGAAGGGTGAACAGAAGCAGGTGAGCTGGCACCTGGATCAGACGCAAACGGCCAGCAAGAAGAAAACGAGCGGGGAGAAGCTGATGAACAGGCGGACGAGGCAGGTTACCATTCCCATGTTGGTCCCCCAACAGCAGAGGGCTCTACAGCAGGAACGAGCTGCTGTTTCTGCTGCTGATGGTGATGGTGCTGGTGGTGGTGCTGCTGCGTTTGCTGCTGATGCTGCCAGCAATAAGTCAGCTAGTAGTGCTGCTGGTGCACACAAGGTAGGGGACAGAACAGCAGATCAAGAAATCCGTCATGAGGATCTGCAAGAGCTCGCTGATATTCTCAACTCACTCTTAAGAGAACAGGCCGCTAGTACCACAGCGGCTAATACCAGAACATCCCCTAGGGCTTCCCCTATTGCTGCTTCCAGTGCTGCTGCTATTGCTGCTACTGCTTCTCCTCGTGTACCTTCTGCCGCTGCTTCTGCTGCTGCTACCACCCCTGCTGCTAGTTTGGCTGCAGATGCGTCTCTACCCTTGGGAGGCTCAGGGTCTGGTGTGGTCCCAACAGGTAGTGCACCTTCTGTTATTCCACAAGTGGCTGATGCAATCGGCAAAGTGGAGCATGGAGGGTTTCAGAGCAGCTCAGCAATGCGGCCTCAGAGGACCCTTGTATGTAGTGCAGTCCCGGAGGACCCCTTGCAACTCGCACGAGCGCATTCCCTCGATGCACTCTCACATGCAGCTGCAGCTCCCTCGTATGCAGATGGACCACCCTCTGTAGCAGCCTCGAGAGGAGTCCAGCGGGGGAAACGGCACAAGGGACAGCATGGAGGGGGAACTGGGTTCCGGGGCCAGCCAGGTCAGCAGCTGCGTAAGGAGGAGAAACAGCGGCAGCAACAGCAACAGCAGCAGCAGCAGCAGCAGCAGCAGCAGCAGCAGCAGCAGCAGCAGCAGCAGCAGCAGCAGCAGCAGCAGCAGCAGCAGCAGCAGCAGCAGCAGCAGCAGCAGCAGCAGCAGCAGCAGCAGCAGCAGCAGCACGAGCAGGAGCAGCAGCAGGAGGACCGTTACCACCAGCATCAGACACTTCAGCAGAACATTCCTCAACAGCACATGCCTCAGCAGCACATGCTTCAGCAGCACATGCTTCAGCAGCACATGCTTCAGCAGCACATGCTTCAACAGCACATGCTTCAGCAGCAAATGCCTCAGCAGCAAATGCCTCAGCAGCAAATGCCTCAGCAGCACAAGCCCCAGCAACAGGGACTCAGTTGTGATCAGCAGAAGCAGCAACAACCTGCAGCGGCAAAAGCTGATTCTCAGTGTAAGCAAGAATTCACAGATCTCAGCACTGACTTCCCATGGCAAAGGACTTGGGAGCAGGAAGGAATTCGATCTGATCTTCCATGGCAGAGAAGTTCCTCCTGCCCTGCCGTCTCTCTACCGCTCCAGTCTCCCAGTGAAGGCGTCAACCAGTATCACTCACCCTTCCGTCCCTCCCACAGCCTAGAGTATGCGCAACCCCAGTGGTTGGAGGGACAAGGGGGGCGACAAAGGCTGTATGGCAGGAATCCAAGCGAATCTCTGCTGCATACGAGTCTGTGGGAGAGCAGAGAAAACGAGGTGGCTGGAGAGGGGGTGGAAGGAGAGAGAACGGGAGATTGGAGTGGTGGGGATGGTGGCTTAGAGGAAATCGTTCGCAGCAGCAACTGGCGTGTAGGAGCACAGGTTTCGGGGGTGGAGAACAAAGAAGAAGGCTTGAGAGGAGGGTTGGGACTTGCAGAAGCAGCAGCAAGGGTAGAACCAACCAGTGCAGACGTGGCGACAGCAGGGGTGGGATTTACAGCAGCAGGAGTAGCTATGGAAGCAAGAGGAGGAGGAGGAGGAGGAGGAGGAGGAGGAGGAGGAGGAGGAGGAGGAGGAGGAGGAGGAGGAGGAGAGGACATGATGACATCGGTGCATGGGATGGAGCTAGAAGAGCTAGAATCACTCCTACTGGATGTTGACGAGGATATGGGCATCAACAGTAGCGGCATGGGCATCAGCAGCACCAGCATGGGCATCAGCAGCAGTATGGGCAGCGGATTCAGCCACCATCCTAGTCGCAACCTGGTCACAAGATTTCACCCTACCACCAACGATTACCACAGCAGCAGTTACCTGACAAGTGCAGGTGACGCAACCGAAGGTGAACCAATGGAATCGTTTAAAGGTTCATCCATGAAACTAGCCCCAGCCATGGGACTTGCAACATTCATGGGACCTGCACCACACGTACCACCGGGATCCACACTGGGTCAGGGGTATTCCATGTTCACACCCATGCATGATGAGTCTGGAAACCCGTTTACATCAGAGGAGGGGAATGTTGCCAACGTGGGTGCTTATCCCATTTCCAACGCCGCCGGTAGCAGTCATGGCATGTGGCCTAAGGGGCATGAGGATCTGTTGCTGCCTCAGTCATACTTCTCAGCACCAGCAGTGGTAGGGACAGGAGGCTGGTCACGGGCAGATGGAGCAGCAGCAGCATCTGTAGGAGTAGCAGAAGGGGCAACAGAAATAGCAGCAGCAGCAGAAGTGGCAACTACAGGTAAAACTTTTGATGTAACAGGGATGTCAGTAATGGGGGACGGGGGGTTGAGCAGGGCGCAGCGCACCGGGACGCTGCTCTCTCCAAAAAGAAGCCGTGAAGAGGACTGATGAGACTCGATTAGAGTAGCCGTTTCCTCTCCACCAGTGGTTTTCAGGAAGCAGTTAATTTGGTCTAAACAGCGACAGCTTGCTCAGGTCAAATGGTTAGAGTTGACCCACAATTGTGGGGGTAGTATCATTACTTCCCCCAAAGGGGGCCTAATGACTACTACTGACCGCATTCTTCCTGAAGCGTATACAAGAGATAGGAGTACTTGAAGATCGATGTATGACCAGAGTTCTGAATCGACTTAGAGAATGAAAATTGCGATTTCGGGTACACCAATGGACTGGAGAAAACTTCTAAGAAGTGGTTGGTGGGGAGTAGTTCTGAGTCAACTCTGAAGGCAACTTATACCAAGTCAATGGCCACTTTGAGTTGACTCAAGGCCATCTCAGGTCAGCACATCACAAGCCACCTTTAACCAACTCAATCCCCATCTAGCACCAACTTTGACCAACATACAGTTGGCCCTTTTGTGGTAGGTGAGGTGAGGTGATCAGGAGACAGGTTAAAGTCCAGGTAAAGTTTCCCTAAGCTTATTCCTCCGCAAATCCCTGTGGAAGGTAATGTCTTTATGGTGCGTGGAGAGGATTGTTATGAAACTTGTGAGCTCCGTTTTGTCTCTGCCCCAGTGGATGCCTGGGGATGGGGTGGGCTTTGACCAAGTGGATGCCTGGCAATAGGGTGGGCTTTGCAATCGTGGAGGCTTGAATCCTTCACGTTAGGATGCCATGTTACCTTGCTTGCTTGTTACAATGGCATTACTGTTGCGGAGATCCACTCAACATCTCATACTAGACTACGGGGGAAGGCACGGGTGGTACAAATAAATGTATTGTTTTCTCGTGTTCTACCTACTTGCACATTCACGGGGCAAATCGACAAGAGTTTCACTAGCAAAAAGAATTACACAATGACGCACAATGGTTTGGCAAAGGTGACTACATCTAGGACCTAGCAAGCAAGCAAGCAGGTCGACCTCCAGCGCGGCACGAGGGCGGCTTGCTAGCGCCGCAAGTCGGGGGCGCGCGGATGCAGTTGAAAGGCGGCCTGCCAACGCTGCAAGTTGGTGGCCTGCCACCATTGTACCAGGGCAGCTTGCAACGCTGGAACAAGACGGCTTGCTAGCGTTGCAACCGCATGTGACTATATTGCACCATGCACGCACCCACTTTGCATGTGCTGGTAGATAGTTGAGCGTGTCGTGGACCGTCACACACATTGTGCATGTGCCAAGTCGGCCACGTGGCAACGGTTGCGCCATATGCACAACGTCGAACCGAAGCTCACGCATTGTTGCCACCTAGGTCGCCTTCACCAAAACCACCTGGACAACGTTCTCCCACTTCATCTTGTCGACCAGGTTACTCGTTCGACTGGAAGAGGCCGTCGATGCCCGCAGGTCGGCGACCGCAAGTCATTGTCATGTCGACGAACACCTTTGACGACCGCGGAATTCACTTCGTCGGCCTACGCCATGGCCGGCTTCGCCAAAGTCTTCTCTGCTGTGGACGACTTTCTCGAAGTCGGCTAACGTCGAAGTCGGCTAACCAAGCTGACATGATCCTCCAAGTCGGTGACGACCACAAAGTCGGCTCCACTAAGGTCGGCCTTGCTCCTCCAAGTCAGTGCCGACCAAGCCAAGCGATTTGCACACCTTACAATCTGGACAAGTCCAAGCTGCTTAAGCAAGGGCGAGGCCTTCTCTCCAAAATACTCCCCTGCCAAGCTTGAGCTTGGGCACCACACACACGCAAAACTTCACCCGAAACCTATGTAATAGAGTACATGGGGATAACTTCGGCGTGCACACCCAGCACGTCGTTTACCGTTTCAGCCATGCTGAAGGGCATGGCGCCTACTGCTGCACTTCTTAATCACTCTCGCCAACATCGGCTCGACCAAATTGGCAAACTAGTACAGAGATGGGCACTAGAATGGCCCGAAATGGTCTCCCCAAGGGCTACTAGTGTCGTCCTGGGGGGGTATGGGTGCGCTGACCCACCAAGAATACATGCCCTTATATCCTAGCTGGTTAGAGAAGTGAGATCTATCCATGCAAGGGGGATACTTCATCGACGTACACTCGCAGCACGCCTTTAAATACATCAGCCATCCAGAAGGATATGGCGCCTAGGGTGCACGTCTTTGCCGCTGACGCCGGCAAAGCAAACTCGGCCGAGTGTGAGGGAGCACCAATTAAAAGCCCGAAAGTGCAGCGCTTTCATGAAGAAGGCGTCGATTGCTCGGTGGTCGAGATGTACACCAGCGCAACCATACTTCGCTTCACCATCAGCTATAGCCAGACGTAGCATCATTCAATATGCTTGAGGTTGCCCTTAGCCCCAACCCTTATTCTGGATGACCAACTAGTTGTCCACATTCAGGATAGTTGGCCTTAGAGCATCGAGGAGCCGGAACTCGGCGAGGAGGAAAAGAAGTCGGGTTGCCTCCATGCCAGCTTTGGTGGCAGCGATGTACTCCGACTCTGTCAACAACAGAGTCACGCGCTTGATGCGCTGGCTCGTCCGGGAGATGGTGGCGCTGCTGAAGACAAAAACGTAGCCGTTTGTGCTATTTTACATCTACTTGTCGACGGCGTCGTCGGCGTCCGCGTGGCCGACTAGACACATCGACTCAGGTATATAGTCGAACTCCAGGGTGGCGTTAGATGTGTCAGCGAGGTAGACAAAACAACGATCAAACATGCGCCAGTGCTGGTCGCTCTCACCACCATGCCGGACCCCATACACGCAAAGGTGATATAGGGCCAAGTCGTCGTGGCGGCGAGCTGCAACGAACCGACCTTGTGTTTGTACTCCTCTTCCTCGCGCGACTAAAAGTCATTGTCGTTGAACGTCAGGTCAGCGTAGGCATCATCGGAGACAAGTTTTTTATGACAATGAAGCGCTTATGCAGCTTGTCAGCATACGACTGCTAGTGGAGCCTCATCTTCCATGCAAGTCGGTCACACACAACTTCCAACACGAGATACTTCGCGATCGAGCTGATCTCACACAGCTCGAAGGTGGCCTCCAATAGCTCGAAGGCGGCCTCCAGCTCCTTCTGCATCGCCAAACTGCCACTGGCGGCAAGTAAGTAGTCGACGTAGACAAGCACCAAGCATGCCACTCGTCAACCTTGCTCGGGCTCTAGCAGTCGCCGGTCAGCACGGCGTTGAGCCGAGTGCCACAGCAACGACGACTGATTGAGGTCGTACAGGCTCTTCGTTATCAGCTCCCAACGGTTCTTCATCACGTTGATACCACGTGGTCACTCAATGAGCTCCCACGTGACACTGGCGAGGAGACTCTGTCCAATGCCCTGGCGACATGTCCAGTCATCTCCTTGTCCATGGCGTCCTTTTCTGCCTTGCCCTTCCGGCTCGCCAATGCCTCCTTGATAGTCATGGTCAGGATGTCCCATTGCCTTTCCTAGTCGACGTGCTTGTCGGGGTCGATCTCGGGCAGGCCGATGTTGGCCTGCGCGTCATCGAAGAGCGGACTGTAGGTAGTCGGCGGCAGGCAAGCATAATAACTCCACAGCTCTGGATCCTTGCCAAAATTGGGGCGGTGGAACAATGCGGTTTTTACTCGTCGACCAGGATTTTTGCCACGTCATTGTCACTAGAATGCTTTCCCATAGACAACTCCCCTTCGTCGTCAGCGGCGTCGGCGACCTCCACCACGTCGTTCGGCAAGCCGTCGTCCAACTGCTCTCCTATTGTCGTCTCCCCTGCCGAATTCTCCCTAAACCCTAAACCGCAGTAGGCGGCGTGACCACCGACGGTGGAACATCGGGAATCAAGAAAGGATATGGAGGGACGTCCTCGACAATTGACTCATCATCCTTGGCGAGCAAAGGAGTCGTCGTTGGCAAGGAATCCGTTGGCAGGGAAGCTCGCATCCACGCTGACGCCTGGCCATGCAGCGCCTTCCTTATCTCATGCAACAAAGCCTCGTATTAGATGACCTTGACCATTGTGATCACCTTGTTGTCGGTGAGGTCGAGCACCTCCCAGTCCATGCTCTTTGGCAAGACACCAAGTTGAAGTCCCCAACGGGCCTTTGGTGCCAGCTTCCCGCCACGCTGCTGCTCGGGGACCATGAACTGCACCATGAAGCTCCATACTCACGCCAGCGTAAGGATTGGCTTCTTGCCGTACAGCAGCTCATGCAGCGTCGTCCTCATCGCCAGCAAAGCCTGCTCAAGACATTTGCGCACCTAGATGACTAGGCAAAAGGCGAGGTGCTACTAATGGTGCTTCACGCCCATGTGAAGTAGCATCGTTCGAATAGCTTCGATGACCGTGCGCATCTCCCACTCAGCCATGCCATTCCGCTATGACGTGTACGGGCACGACAAGTCGTGGACGATGCCCTTGTGGTTGACAAAGTTGGGGAAAGCTCGAACGAGGAACTCTTCTCCGTAGACTGAACGAAGCATCTTGGCCGACTTCGAAGTCTGTTGCTCCACAACCTTCAGCCACTTCGCGAAGATGACCAGCACGTTCCTCTTCTTCACAATCGGTCGGGCCCTCACGTAACGGGTATTTTGGTCCTCTGATAGGAGAAAGTAGAGTTCTTGGCGTCCAAACCCTTGGCTGGGAATGTGTGCCGCGCCAGCTTGCAAGTGACACAGGACACGCATGGCAAGTAGGCTTCGGGACGACAGCTTGATATCCAGGCTGGCGTCGACCCCATACGCCGCTGAGCTCTTGACCTTGTAACTCCGACATGAGCAAGCCGGGCGTGCCACATGTCCGACGTCGACAAGGCAATTGGTCGACTTTGTCGCCAAGGCAATTGGTCGACTTTGTCGTGCAGAGGTGAAGGTCAGTATAGAGGACCCGGTTTGTGTAGCGTGCACAACAGAGCACATCTCCTATAGCTCACACCAGCAACATCTCGTCATCATCGTTTTGCAACTCCACGCCACTGTCCTTCAGCTGGTTAGTCGACAGTAGATAGGCGTGCATGCATGGGACGCAGAGAACGTTGAGGACAAGGATATGCTTCCCGGACTCCACTTGTAGAGCAACGGTGCTGCGAACTTGGATGACCTGAGTTGCCCTATTGAAGCCGCCACATGGCTGACGTTGCTGCCTGGATCCATGACGAGAGCAACCGCTGTCGAGCAGCACAACCATCGGATTCGGTTGCACGGCAGCGGTGACCGCCTTGAGGTCATTGCTGGCCTCCAGCGTCAGCGAGATTGTTGGCTCCAGAATGCCGACCTTCGAGAACGAGGAGCTTTGTGGGCCGCTCAGTCTGATGCATGAAATCGTCGTTGATGATGTAACTCAATAGCAGGTCCTCGTCGAGCATTTCGCGCACGCCAGAAAATGGCAGCATCTGGCGCATAAGGTTGTAGCCCATGGGGAGGCCCCTAACGATATGGGCAACGTACGACGCCACCGAGTAGTCGTCGCTAGCCATCCGTAGGTCGGCCAAAATCCTCCGAGCGTGGTTGTAAAACTCGGTCGTCGACTCTTGCTCGCCCATTAGTATGTTGGTTAGCCGCTGCTTGACCGATATACCTGTCGTCAAACGCCTTGTAGGTGTGCATGACGAAATGCCTCACTTGGTGGCCGGCGTCCACCCGAGGTCAGCACGACTTTAGGGCGACATGCACCATGGACAAGCAACACCGAGAGATGATTATGAAGGCCAGCCGATGAGCGGCAACGAATTCCGTCTGGAGCTCGACGT